AATCCTCAAAAATGTGTACACGCTTTAGTTTATATATTTTAAAGTGTGTATACATTTTTGGACACCTAATATATATATATATATATATATATATATATATATATATATATATATATATATATATATTTATATATATATTACCAGCATTACATTTGACTCTCGACAAAAAACACTCTTTATATAAATATATCTGAGGGGATGGTGGGGGGGGTCTGTACTGATAGAAACACAGGCAAAACAGGATTATAGATAGATAAAAGGAGGAAGAAAAAGAAGATGGACTGAAAGCTCAGGCTGATCTGTATGCTTTTTTGTTTTTTTTTTTTTTTTCTATGGAAAATGCAGGTGTTAGGAAAACGAAAACTTTGAAATAGGTCGATTATTATTGAGATGGACTGAGAAAGAGGCGGTCAAATTTGATAAGCTATTCTGATCGACTATCAATTTTTTTTTCTTTTATTTGAAAACCAATGCGATATTCTTCCATGAATTGGCGTCACGACTTTTCAGTTTTATTACCCAATCAAGCAAAAGACATTTGATCGATTTTCTAAAGACTCTTTGTTTGCAGCCGACAAAGAGACGAGGTTATGACATATGGTTTATTTTCGTAGCTTAGGAACGCCGCACTATTTACAGATTCATACGCTTAAGTGCTAACAAAAAGGAAAAATATAAAAGACGAGATGGTTGAATATAAGTGTGGACAGTTTCACAAAAAATATGTAGAATTGACAGTGAAAGAAGAAATCCTATAAAATTTACTGATATTTTCTTCTATTTTTGTGCTATTTTGTTTTGGTATTGGTTTTCCAATATGATACACAAAGAAAAATATATTTTAAGCCTAGCATATTTTAGTAGTAATCCTTTATTTAAACATGGCACAATGGATAAAGGCGTTAGTTAGATCCAGTGACAGGTCCCAAAGAGTTCAATACCCGGTTAAGTAGTGCAGAACTTTCAGAGGGAAAGTAACAGCAGTTAACTGATAACTGACATCCATTAAAAACATATCCCGTGGAACTAGAACAGTCTACCCCAGTGAGCGAAATAAAGGGTTCATTTCGACACCTGAAGAAGGCCGGAGAGTACAACGGCCAAAGCGTTGTAATAAATATAGCAACAAAGATGAGGACAATAGTCCGAATAATGTAGATAATGTTATTTTAACTCTTAACTGGATGGTATTATCGATTGATTTTTCATTTGCGATCAGCGCATATTATAAATTGACGGTTTTTTCCCAACAATACGGTCATTATTCAAGTTTAAATAACTAACTGGAACTTTAGGATAGTTACTGGAGTATTTGCCTGCAAATAAATCTAGAAGAACACGCCAAAGACTCCAACGTCTGCATGCATCCGTCTTAAAGAGAAAAAAGGTGAGAAAATGGTGACATCATGGCGGATGAAATATTTTAACACATGTCAGAGAGTTATTATTAAATTTACGAAGCTAGCTTTTGTTTTATTTATGATTTTTATTTTAGATTTATGTTCCAAGTGTGTTAAAATAACCTGTTTATATTTTTTTGTATATATCAACTTAGAAATCCCTTCACTTTATTCAGTAAATATCCTATGTTAATCTGATACAATCACCCTAGGTTTCTACAGAACTGTGGGATTCCAAAATCAGTTTTGTCTTCTTAAAGTCAACATTTGCTAAGCTTAAAACCACCTCTGAAATCAATCATTTCTCGTCAAATTAGATTCTTTCTTATCTATATTTGACATATTATCGTAATTGCTGGCCTATTGGGCGCACCCACACATTGAATACACCCCAATTGTGTCAGAGAATATTTAAGAAAAAATGCACAAATTACAAAAAAAAAAAAATCAGTTATAACCTTACCTTTATATAAAATTCTCACTAACCTTGAAGAAACACTTACATTATTAGCACAAATGATACTATTGGCATTAAAAAAAAATAGAAAAGAAATAAGGTTTAATAGAAACAAATAAGATAGAAAAAAATCTATCTTTTTGAAAAAGATAGATTTTAGTACATTTGATTATGTATTTAATGAAAATTGTTTTAGTTTTTCTTCAAAGAGCAATATATGCGCATACACTAACTTCATAATAATTACAAAGAAATCTACTATTATCAGTGAACCCCGGTACATATGGTCACAGAAAAAAATAGAAATAAGGTAATTGTTGGCAAATCCCATGCCATACATGCAGAAAAACAAATTCCAGTACCTGCATATCAACAGAACACAGATACAAAGCAAGCCGTAATATACCAATCAAAGCAAATATTTGTAAAATCAGGCAAAAAAAAAAACAAAACAAAAAAAAAAAAAAAAAAAAAACATAATACAGTTCCATACATTTCTAAATTTCTTTTGTATAGGCGAATTTTTTAGGGATATTTCTTATTGAGATCCTCTTTGTTCACTTCCAGGAATCCTAGTTTCTGAGCTTAGCTCTATGCCTGCACTGATTGCCACTTTTACTGAACCATACATTTTGTGATTTTAATGTCCTCTCATACATGATGCTTCCGTATTAGACACAAGGGAATTCTTTAATATATTTTTGGGA